TCCCTACAATGGCTTACCCCTTCCTCACTCAGCTACTAGGCTGCTGTCTCTTCACCACCAACAGCTATTCCCTTGTTCCAACAATCGATCACACTTGGCTTAGAATTGCTAAACTTTCCATGTAGGAAAATGAGTGGGACCTGGTCATGCTATTGCTATCCAAATGCCCAATCCCTTGAGGGGACATGGATACAGCAAAGTAAAGAGAATGGCTTGAAAAATCAGGAAGGTGAAGTTTCAGAAGTAACTCAGACCTATTTCCAGCTTTACAAATCTCAAACTGTTGCTTCCAAAATGCAGTCAAACACTTTAGCACTTCCCTGGAGGGTCAAGATGGAGGAATCATGATGCTCAGGTGACAGTGAATTATGAGAGGACGGTCTTAACCAACAGCTGAGACTCCTATCGTTCTCCAGTTTGTACACATCCCTCTGGGTGGCTATGTGTGGGAGGAGAGGGAGGGAATTAGCCACACACACACACTCTGCTTAAGTGGAGTTGATGGCCACATCTTTGTGGCTATCCTGATAAGAAAAACGAACATTTTTAGACTTTGAGAGATGAGTGACCACATGACCCTAAGGGGAGGGGCAAATTTGCCTCGGAAAGGGACAGAGGGCACTATAAAAAATTTTTCTCAGATAGCCTTAATGTATTGAGTCCAATACTAGTTAAATAAATTACCTAACACCCATGGATTTACTCGTTTAAAAAAGTATTTGAATGTAATTGGCAAATTTCTTTCTGACAGTGCAATTTAAATACAATTATTTTTTGAGAACACATACATCATTGTGAATGTTTAACATTACCACAGACATTTTCCCTTGTTCTGAAAAATTCTTCAAACATAATTTTTATTAACTGTAATCCACCACATGAATGGACATGAGATTCACATGTAAGTCTATGGCTTGCCCAGTCATTCTTGATTGTAGGGCACTCCTTTTAGATAAGACCTTAAGGTCTTTCCCAGAATCTGCTTCTAGACTAGTGGTTCCAAATTTCTGAGGGGTGGTATACATATATTGAGTCTAAACAGGGTGAGACTGCTGGGGTTGGAAGGGCAGCTGCACCAGTATCCTTAACTTCTCCATGCCTCAGTTCTCTAATCTTTAAATGGGATAGGTGACATTATGTACCTCAAAGTGTTGCTGTGAGGATTGACTTATGTGCTTACTATATTATAGTGCTTGCTACATAGTGATTAGCAAATATATATATATATATATGTATATATAAATCTGTATGTATATATACACACATCTATACCTACACATCTTCCTCAATTTACTATGAGGTTATGGCCTGATAACCCCATAGTAAGTTGAAAATATTCTAAATTGAAAATGCAATTAATACACCTACTGAACATCATAGCTTAGCCTCGCCTACCTTAAACGTGCTCAGACCACTTATATGAGCCTACAGTTGGGCAAAATCATCTAACACAAAGCCTATTTTATAATAAAGGGTTGAACATCTCAGGTAACTTATTGACCACTGTACTGAAAGTGAAAAATAGACTGGTTGTAAGTGTATCCATTGTTTACCCTCATAACCTCCTGGCTGCCTGGGAGCTGCAACTTGCTGCTGCCCAGCATCATGAGAGCATCACAGAGCATAGCACTAGCCCAGGAAAGGGTCAAAATTAAAAATTCAAAGTAGAGTTTCTACTGAATGCATACCTCTTTCACACCATTGCTAAGTGAAAGAATCCTAAACTGAACCATCGTAAGTTGGGGACCATCTGTATATATAGAGAGATATCTATATCGACATGTATCAGATATATTTATCAATGGATATCAGTCAGTCAGTCTCTATCTTTCTTTCTCTAAATACACATACACTCTCTCTCTCTCTCCCTGAACTAACTCTAGTCAGGCTCCTCTAGGCCCCAGTCTTGGGCTCTGTCCTTCACCCATTTAGTCCAGTTTTAGGAAGAATTCCCCTAGGTCAGTTTATCAAGAACACCACCACCCGCCCCCATCCTTAACATCTCATCACTCTCGCCAGCCCTCAGCAAGAATCCTATTAAGTCCTTTTAGCCAGATTCTCCCTCTTACCCTTGATGGTTCTTTTTTAGTAACCGTATATCCAGTGACACCGCCCCCCTTCACTATAAATCCCCACTTGTTCTTGTATTTGGAATGGAGCCCAGTTATGGACAAAGGTCTCTCGCCCTATGGCAATAATTCCTGAATAAAGTTTGCCTTGAGAAGCTTTCGATTCTGTCCAGCTCTGGTATTTTTTGACAATATACTGAGGAAGGCTCAGATAACTTTGGGAATCCATACAACTATAGTCCTATTCCTAAGAGAAAACGCAAAAAAAAAAAAAAAAAAGCAAAACTGCACAAAACCTTAAGTGGTTTGTGGAGTCTACGAATCCCAGATTAAGTATCTTTAAGGAAAAGACGCTGGGATCCATTTGTGGCTGGACACATTCCCTGCCGCCATGGTCTCTGAGAAACGTAGTCCACAGGCAGGATAGCCAGAACTTGGTCATCCCATCACCACCCCCGAAACCCCAAAATACCTTCCCCGCCACCCATAAAGAGCTCGGACCCGGCCCCGGGCGGAGCCGAGTGTCGACCCGCTCTAACGCGGAAACAATCGCCCGGAATTAAAACGCGCGAAGGCTCCGCGGACGAACCCGCTTATAAACTCCAGGGAGCTTGGGCTCCTCAGTTGGACAACAAGGAGGCAGCCGAGAGCTGCCACACCGCAGTGCCTTCTGGGAAATGTAGTCCAGAGCCAGAGGGCCGGTCGCCCGAAGAATGCTGGGAAGAAAAACCCGGACCATGATTGGGCCCCGGCCACAGTTGGCTTTTGGGAGTGTAGTTCGGCGTGTCGCTCTGGTCAAGCTGGAGCCCGGTCTTCCATCTCCTCAACCTTGGCCTCGTCTGACCGCCCAGAACCGAATCTTTCTCCGTGAGTTGTGCCTGTGGGCCATGACCTGTCCTGCGTACTTCTCCGGGTATGAGCTGTGGGGCAGCCTGTTTGTGACAGAGGGGAGGCTGTGGGTCTGTGACGTGAGACGGTTTGGCCCAAGCCGGTGCCAGTGACTGAGGGTGGGGAGAGGCAGGTGAGTGGATACACCTGCCTCTGCGTGGGTGGCGGATGGGATTCTGCGACGTGGAGCGTGACCGTGCGAGGAGGGCTTTGTATGTGACGTGTCTTTGTGTGTGACCGCAGATCTTAGAATGTGTGGCCTTGGTTATGTGTGAAAAGTTGGTGTGACTCTCAACCTTCCTTCAGTCTATCAGTGTGACCGGAGTTGTTCAGAAACTGTGTAGGTTTAAGATAACATGAATGTGGGTTTCTGTTTGGTTGCCTGTGGGATTGTGATAACTGCTTCCAGGTTTGCTTTCCCCCTTTATAAATAGAGTAATAACTCCAAATTTCTTATTACCCTGAAGTTCTGCAGCAAAGCGCAAACATAAAACATGATAAAAACATGACTTTTACATTAAATAAACTCAAAATTATTATAGAGAAAAATTCAAAATCAGCTTAAAGTGTTAAAACATGAAGATGGGTTTGTTCAAAACAATTTCTTATCAACAGTATGGTACGGCCTGTCTTGGCTCTGCCCCAAACACCACAGTTAGTCATTTCCTTTTGCTGATTGGAATGTACCTGCAGAAATTCAGGAAGCCTTGGACTGCAGAATTAGCGTTACCCATCCTGAAGCGCTCATCTAGAATATGCATGGCCTGGTCTGCCCACTCTCTGAGGAAGGACGCTTTCCCTCAGAAGGTCTCGAAGCTTGCCCAAGGCAGCAGTTTCTCCCTGAGCCAGACCCAGAACTCAGTTTCTATCCCTTAATATAGTTTTGTTTTCATCTGGCCTCATGGCTTCTGTGATGTCATGAAGCAAATGTCTGCTATCTTTGATATTGCTTTCTCTAAAGAGTTTACCACCTTGATTCCACCCATATGGGGCTGGAATAAATAGAGGAACATTTCCCTGTAGGCCTTGTATTTCATGGAAGGAAATTTTAAAGTCACAGAGATCTGACTGTAAATACCAACTCAACGACTCACATTCTACAAGTCACTTGTAGTTTGTGGTTTTCAGCAAGTCACTTTTCTACATCTGTCTTATTTTTTCTCCTACAAAGAAAATCTGACTGCAAGGTTATTTTGAGGAATTACGATTACTGATATTAAAAGTGATGTTAGCATAAAGAGGTTGAATCTCACACTTTAGTTGTTACTGCATCCCTTTTACATCTTCAGGTTTTTGAATCATGAGGATATACTGCTTATTCAAAATATTAAACATTTTTAAGCAGAAATAAAATAGAACAATTGAGAATTAATACACAATATTTAGAAGAAAATTATCTTCGACTAAAAAAAAGACATGAGATATTTAAACATATCCTGCTCAGTTCCCGAATTCTAAGGATAGAAAGAAACTCTTGCCAAATGCTGGGATGGAAGCAGTTACTGTGGTAGGCAGAATTATGGCCCTCCAAAGATGTCTACGTCCTAATCCCAGGAACCTGTGGGTATGTTTTTACATGGCAAGAGGGAATTAAGTTGCAAATAGAATTAAGGTTGTTAATCAGCTGACCTTAGGACAAGATTATCCTGGGTTGTCCAGATGAGCCCAATATAATCACAAGGGTCCTTAAAGGTGAAAAGAAAGGAGGCAGAAGAGTCAGTGTCAGAATGATGCAATGTGTGAAAGACTCAGCTGGCTACTGCTGGCTTTGAAGGTGGAAAGGGGCCACACCAAGGAAGGTGGTGGGTAGCCTCCAGAAGCTGAAAAGGCTAGGAAATAGATTCTCCCATAGAGCCTCTAGAAGAGAACACAGCCCAGTCAAGACCTTGATTTTGGCCCATTGAGACCTGTTTCAGACTCTGACCTCCAGATAATAAATGTGTGTTGTTTTAAGATGCTAAGTTTTGATAATTTGTTACAGCAGCAACAGGAAATGAATACATCCCCATAAGCTAAGAGAAGCAGACTAGCATTGGGTTCCTCTTCTAGAAGATCAGAAGCCAGAATTCAGTGAAGTGACATCTCTGGATTACTGAGAAAAAAAACTGTAATCCAAGAACATTCCACTAACCAAAAATATAATTTGTGAAGGTCCAAGAAACTCTTTTGGACATAAAAGGATTCAGAGAATACCAACTATGTAACATTTATTGAGATAAATATAAATACTCAATAAAATAGTCTAACCAAATTGCATATGAAATAAATCTGTTACCTCAAGACAGGGGAAAACAGTAAAAAAACAGTTGCCAGCAATGAATGTTACTCTGAATACTATATTTAAGTTTAAATGGAAATCATGAATGGGTCTGGCAGTAAGTAATATAAGCATCAAATACAGTGAGTCCCCTACATACGAACCTTCAAGTTGCAAACTTTCAAAGATGCAAACGTGCATTTGCATATCCAATCACGTTAGTTCATGTGACTGGCGTACACTGTCATGTGTATGCATCCTCTCCAAGTGGTTGTGCTTTTGTGTACTTTGCTATGCAGTACTGTGTAGAGTACAGTAGTACAGTATCTTTATTTTAAGCCCAGGATGTCTGGAAGCATAAAAGCAGCTGTGATGAAACTGGTAAGAAGAGCCAGCTGTTGTACTACAATACTTTTCAAGGTACTGAACTGGAAGATTAAAACTGTTTTATTTTTGTGTTTGTTTTTTATGTATTATTTGTGTGAAAAGTATTATAAACCTATTACAGTAGGTACTATATAGCCGATTGTGTTAGTTGGGTACCTAGGCTAACTTTGTTGGACTTATGAACAAATTGGACTTACGAACATGCTCTCGGAACAGAACTCGTTCGTATGTAGGGAACTTACTGTAAATAAGAGTAAAACTAGAAGCTTTGGACTATGAGTTTTCATTAGGTTAGTAAAACGGAGGAAGTGTTAAAGAACAGCCTGTGAAGGAAGGGAAAG